CTTCGCGAGCTGCCCGAGCATCTTCGCGCTGGTTCCACCGCGCAGAGCCAATGTGCAACTCCTGACGCTGCATCCCCTGCACCACTGACAGAATCATCCGCAAGCATACTAGCTGGCTGCAGGGCGATGCGCCCTTGCGGTGCAGATAATCCAACACTCGTGTTCTACGGGCTGCATTTTCTTTTGCCCAAAGATAGGCACTTCCAGAAGACTGACCGTCGCCTCCAGCAGCAGCTCGATCGGCAGTGAAAGCAACGAGTGCACAGCCACCGCCGTCGTCACCACCTGGGATCACGCCAGCACCAATTGGGGCATTATCCGACGACGGTCTACCATTCATTACTGCACAAAAGTTCTCGTATACAGGGATCAAACAATCACCGAACAGAACCATCAACGCGACTGCACAAGTAGCTTCCTCCGCCCCCATCCATTTGCTCCTCATGAACATCTTCGGAGGACGGTTTGCGAAGGCATGACAGATCCCAGCAATGGCCTTCTCTTTCAGCACCTCCTTGTCGCATTCGACGCCAGGCGGCATGAAGATCACGATCTCGTCCGCCGAGGGCCTTGCATCCCAGTCGCACGTGGCGAGTGCTTCTAAAATAACCCTGACAGTCCATTCGCACCCGCTTGACGGGATAAACCATTTCAAGATAAGATGCCGACGAGCCTCGACGTCACGCAAATTGAAGCCCTCCCTGACCACAATCTTCTTCCTCAAGTGCAGTTCCAAGCAGGACCGAAATACTTTCAAACACCCAGGGGACATGAGCGACAACGTCAAATTTATCATGAACGAAATGCAATCCTCGAACAGAAACGTTGATTTGATCCTCATGCCTTGAAGCATGTGCTGCCGACACGGTACGAGAAGTGACCTCATCGATGGCGCTCTGCTGAAAAGCCGTGTCCGCATGCGCCTCTCCGCGGCCAGGTTCGAGAAATGACGATCGATTGAAACCAGTCGGGTTCCGGACTCAAAGAGAAGATCTGCTAAACCCATCGAATCTGATTCTTCCAAACACCGCAGCACCGTGCCTGGCGCATAACGCAACATCGCCTGGAGATGGCACAACGTTCGCCCGTAGAGCATGAGATATTTGGTGACACCACGAACCTCCTTGCTGATCAAGATGCCCCAATGACGCTTAATCTTCGTTGGCACCGATGTCTGCGAAGACGGAAGCAGCTTCAGGAAGGAGCCAGGCAAGGCGAACTCCGCAGTGCTGGGAGGGGCGACGAGACCCCCAGGCCGATCAACTTGGCGCAAGCGGAGGGGCGTCTCGTCATAAGCTACATAATCGATCACGTGGAGCGCCTTGGCGACTGATGACCGACAACACGATTCAACCAACATCTTACGGTAAAGACGGTCGTGGAGCCAGACCATGCAATTCAAATGCACAGAATGCTTGTGGAAGGTCTCCAACGATACTCCAGTTCTCTCGCACTGCAAAGATGCCGTGGCGAAGGCCAGCGGCCGAGAAGCAGGGTCGTACAACACAGTCGCAACATCTGACGGCCCAGGCAATGCATCTCGAAAACGCTGCACCTCAGGATCAAAACTGAGACCGCCGATGTGCGCTAGCAGCGGGTGGCTGGTGAACGGCACGGGGCGGCTGCACATGTCTCCAGCGACCACGGGCGGCGCGGACAATGCACGAGCACGCTGCGCCTCGGCCTCTCGTGCCTCTCGCCGCCGCCGCTTTGCCTCCCTCGCTGCCTCCTGCGCGACTCTAACGTCGCCTCGCCTGCGCTGCAGGCCGACGGCCGCGCCGCCGATGCCCGCTCCGGGCGGCCCTGGCGCCGCCATCCATCTCTCAGTGGACGGTCGAGGCGTCGCAGACCGTCGAGACGAACTCCGTCGTCTGAAGTGAAACTTGGAGACGCAAAATGCGTGCCGAGAGCACGTTTGATTCAAAACGGCGGCGGAGGAGGGTGAGGAGGATACCAAGGGCAAGCTACTCGCCTCTGCTGCCGAAACTTGTTTTCTGCTCTCTCTCTCCCTCGCTCTCTACAGTTCGGGCAATTCTACAGTCTCCCTCGCTCTCTCTCTCCCTCGCTCTCTACAGTCTCTCCCTCGCTGTGGGCGCGTAAATCCCCGCCCTAACACTGGAGTCCTGGCCTCAGAACGCGCGAGCGAAAGGCGGGGGGGTGAATGGAGCGGGGTTTCCGAATGCAGGACCAGGACAGGAGAGGGGAGCTTCTTAATGAAGGAACGTTGCAACCATAAGTAATTTTTCAAAACGCACGACCTTGTTGTGATGATTGTTTGGGGGCATGTGACAAGGTGGGCGGAGAGGATTTTTGGAGGATGTTCTTGGAAGTCGCAGACCTACAGAACCTAGCGGGTAGCGAGAATATAAAGCCAGACACGCGGCTATGCCTTTGCTATGCAATCTGCGGGCATGCCTGCCACCTTCGCCGGGACCCTTTCCTTTGCGGAAAAAGCCGCGACGTGCAGCTCGCCTGGACCTCCTCTCTGCTTTTTTGTTTTCGTGCTTCGCCTCCACCTTCTGCCGGCGCGATGATCGACTAGACTGGGTATAAATATTGCTTAGCTGCATCATCGCCGGCGGGCAGGTCTGACCAATCGGAGTTCTCGGCGTCGGTAGAGGAGATCGCATCGGTATCCGCGCCGGAATCGGATACGTCGTCGTCTTGTTGGCTGGGTGAGCCCCAGAGTGTAGTCGCGTCAGGCGGTATGCAGCTGGCCGCGGACGGCCAGCGCATGTCTGAGCCAGACGTCTGTTCGTCGTTGCGCTGGGCGTCTTGGCCTAAGAGCGTCGTGGGCTCAGTGGGCTCTCCGTCATTGATGATGCTGTTCGACATGGCTGCCGTGCGTCGTTTGTTTCGGCGGCGCGGTAAGCGAAGGGGTTGCGTCCGCTGAAGATGCTCCCGACGTTCCCTGGAGAACGCTCAGCCAAGTGTCCACGGCTGCGCGTTCGCTCCAGGAGTTGGTCGCACTGTTGTAGAGTGCGGGGCATCTGGTGGTTCAGCGGTTGCAGTAGTTGGGCTGCTCGGGAAGTACCAAGCCCCAAGGCGCGAAATCAGATCAGGATGATTATCTGGAAGTTGGGTATGTTAAAGCCTGCGGAATATGCGTCCAGTCTGGCCATCTCGAAACGGGCCATTACTCAGTCGATACGTTCGCCTCTTTGGGCTGTGAAGTCGATGAGGGCTGCCCCTGAGGTGAACTGTCCATCGTCCTCAAGCTTTTCACCTTTGTAGGTGCATAGCGTAAGTGACTCCATCGGTGCGTCTCGCCTGCAGTGTGGTACCGTAATTGAAGATGGTGGACGGCACCAGCATGGCTAGTGTCCTAGCCAATTACCCTAGGCCGCACTGCAAAACAACTTCCTGTTGGGGTGGAGTCAGACTTCCGCTCGCGAGTTTAAGCCATGCGTGTACTTCGCGAACATAGTCGCGGAAGGGTGCGTTACCTGCGGGGTCCTAGAAGGAACCCCGGGCGCGTGTTTCATCCAGTCTACCTCGCACGCATGCCACGGCAAGGTCTAGGCACGCCCAGATAGTTCCAACGATCGAGACCTTGACATAATGCATGGTCGTGTTGTAGCTTATGACGCTAGGTTGCGTATCGTTCGATATTGTCGCGCCCATAGGGTTGCGACTGGGTGTCTGGTTTGAAGTAGCCGTCAGCTTGCGGATAGGTATCGGTGTTTGGGTCGTGCGTGGCGAGTGGCCACGCGGCGGGGGGGATAGAGGTGCAGGACTGTAACTTAGTGGCTGGTTCGAAAGCATTGGGAGCGTAGTGGTTGAGAGCCGGCGCGGTCGGGTACTCCACTGTGCCGTGGTAGCTTGTTATGTACATAGCACCCGATGTAAGGGCCAGCCACATAAAGATGTAGCCAGTTCCGCTACCAAGTAAAAAGTTAAGGGTACACGGCATGACCATGAGGTAATAAGATGAGAACCCTACTCTTGGGATAGCGTCGGCGACGTCGCGAAGTCTCCCACAATTCATCCCTTCATGGCACGCAAGACGAAAAGTAAGAGAGAAACTATCGGATCGGGAAGTGGACCATAGATGGACGTGGCCGTTGTCCGATACTAAGATTCGCAGATGAAGGCGTCAAAGGGTCGGACGCACATAGGACTGCGCAATCTTGAACGAGGACAGCGTCGGATATAGCGTTCGCTATACAACCTCTCCGTGAATATCGTAAAGTGTTTTCACATGTTTAAGACATGTTCAGAACGTGCCTTAGACATATGAACACACAATTTGGCAACATGCTTCTTTTCCATGGATCGTCGCTCGCAAACAAAATGGCTCCACGAGGGCTCTGGGTAGTCCAAGGCGGCCCCCGTGGATGACTCAGGCCGATCTCCAGCATGCTGCAAGGAGGCTCCGAGACCGCTCCAAGACGGGTCCAACTGGCCGCTGAGCCTCCAAAGGGCGCCCCCCAAAGGCCTACATCCCCACATCCTTACTTGGGGGACACAATGTGTGCATGTGCCTTCTCGCCGTTTCATCCCGGATTGGCTCCAACAGGACCCAAGCAGGCCCCAGGAGAGGCCCAAGACTGAGTCCTAAAGCGCCTAGACCACCTAAGACCGCCCTCTGCCCAAAGATCCCCCCGGAAGCCTCCGAGGCACTCCGGAGACGCATCCAAGAGGCCCCAACAAGCATCCACGAGACCCACACGAGGCCGCCACGCACAAGGCCCCCAAACGGCCTTCCGTGCATTCTCGAACAGACGCCGCCAAGGACCCTGCGCTGGCACGGTCGGGGGAATGGCCCGAGGTAGCTGGAACATTTCTCCACGAACGGACGAACGAAACAACAGGAGGGAGGGACGAAACATGAAAGAGGAGGAGGTGAGAGAAACAAATATGCGGAGGATGAGGAAGAAATACGAAAGGAGAAGGAAGGTGAGGAGCACGGAAGAAGGGAGAAACGCAGGGAGAATGAAGACCATGATCACGACGACGACAAAAGAGGTAGGTATGGCCAGGAGCGACGAACGCCGAGCCTCAACCGCACCTTCAGCCTGGGCGAAGGTGGTCGAGACCTGCTCGTCCTCGGAGATCGAGGAGATGCCTGAGCTGAGGAACAGGGGAGCTACAGTCAGCCCGTAGAGTAAGGTCGAGCGAGGCAGGCAATCGAAACTGGTTAATAATGGACCGACGATGACCGAACAGGCACGGATGCCTGGCCACCCTTGGGAAATCGATCATCCTTCCAATGCGGGCTGACTGCTCGCTAGCCGCCTCCCATCTACTCGTCGTCGTCCTCTTCTTCCTCCTTAGCCATCACGACCTCCTCTCGTACAATCTTCCTCGTCCTGTTCCCGCCTTATGCGCCTCTTCCTCCTCCTCCTCGTCCTCCTCCTCCGCCTCCTCCTCCTCCCCCTCCCCCTCCCCCTCCCCCAGCTCCTCTTCCTCCCCCTCCCCCTCACCCTTCCCCTCCCCCTCCCTCTCTCCCTCCCCCTCTTCCTCCTCCTCCTCCTCCTCCACCTCCTCCTCCTCCCTCCTCCTCCTTCGCCGCTGCCGCCGCCGCGGCCGCCGCCTCCACCTCCTCTACCACCGACTCCGCCTCCGCCTCCGCCTCCTCCTCCTCCTCCGCCTCCTCCGCCTCCTCCGCCTCCTCTGCCTCCTCTTCCTCCACCAACTCCTCCTCCGCCTCCTCCTCCTCCTCTTCCTCCTCCTCCTCCTTCTCCTCCTCCTTCTGCATATAAACAACTTCTCCCTGTCGCACCCCGAGGCCAGTTTTTACGCTCAACAACTAACAACAGTTTCGCTCATGGAGTGCGGGTGGTTTTCAAACTGTGGCTCTCGCCTTCGCTCCGCGCACATTCGTTAAAAGAAATGGCAAGCGCTTCGCAGATTGAAGGCGAATGGTTTTCAAGCTGTGGCTCGCGCCTCAGCGCCGCGCACATTCGTTTAAACACGTTGCAAGAGTTTCGCGGATTGGGGGCGGGTGGTTTTCAAAATGTGACTCTCGCCTTAGCGCCGCGCACACTCGTTCTAAACCATACAAGAGTTACACATATTGAGGGCGGTTCCTTTTCAAAATGTGGCTCTCGCCTTAGCGCCGCGCACATTCGTTTTAAACATTTGCGAGAGTCTCACTGATTCCCATGATCAGGAAACGAGAAATTGTGTTTTGGAAGGACTCCCGTTTTCGAGGGCGCAGAATCTATATTGATTCGGTCCCAAGAGTGGCGTTCTGGCACGATTCAGGATCGTCAAGACGCAACAGACAGGTTGAGCCGTGGCGTTGGAATCCCGATAACAATATGTTTGGCATGCTGCTGGGTCTTCAAACACTGTTTTCCAACAAGGCAACTGCCTCCGATAAAGTGAACCGTTGTAGGGGCCTATGACGAGGGAGCTTGGAGAGAGGGTAAAATCCAACATCGTTGATGCCTCGTGGGTTGTTTGCACAGGTCCTCCTCCCCCTCCTCCTCCTCCTCCTCCTCCTCCTCCCTGCTCCTCCTCTTCTTAATGTTCCTCCTCCTCCTCCTCCTCCTCCTGCTCTCCCTCCTCCACATCCTCCTCCACATCCTCTTCCTCCTCCTCCTCCGCCTCCTCCTCCTCGTTACCCTCTTCAGCCTCCTCCTCCTCCAACTATTCCTCCTCCCCCCCCTCCTCCTCATCCGCCTCCTCTTCCTCCTCCTGCTCTTCCTCCTGCTTTTCCTCTCCGTCCACATCCCCCCCCTCCTCCTCCTACGCCTCCTCCGCCTCCTCCTCCCTCCTCCTCCTCCTCCTCCTACTCCCCCTCCCCCTCCCCCCTCCTCCTCCTCCTCCTCCTCCTCCTCCTCCTCCTCCTCTTCCTCCTCCCCTCCTCCTCTTCCTGTTCCCCCCCATTTCCTCCTCCTTCTCCTCGTCCACCTCCTCCTCTTTCTCCCTTTCACCTGACACTTCCTCTTCCTCCTCCTCCTTCACAGTCTCGGTCGTGATATCCTCATCCTTCGTAGTGTTCGAAGACCGACTCCAGAAAGCTCGTGACCCTGGCTGTCAATGCATATTGCGCCAACGCCCACTGGCTGCCGCGCGTGATGCTAGCACTGGGCAGGCTAAGGAATTGCCGGGGAGCAGACGTCCATGAACGCAGCGCACATACCAACAGAAGGACATGGCGGAAGAGCGAGGTACAGTCGACATACGTTTCAAGGACAGGCGATGAGGACGCAAGGGCCTTGAATGCTGAAAATCCAATGTTTTGGGCGGCGGAGCGCAAACACCCTGAAGGGTTGGCCAGCGAAAGCCGTAAAAAAAGACGGGCCGCAGAAACAAGGACGCAAAAGGGGGACATCCGCGCGCCTTTGCTACGACATTGCACGGGGGAGCAACGCGGAACTCGAAACTCGGCAATCCGCGAACAGAGGCCAACACACATCGTTGCCAGGGGGTGTGAGCTACGTTGAAGACGCCATGCAGACCGAAGCCGCTCACGTAGAGTGGGCTGTGGGTGAGAAACCACAAACAACTTGTGGGCAAACGAAGAACATTACGAAGACACTTGACATCTTCGCCACATGGTTGCACCAACAACATTTGTTAACCAAGCGTTCCCTTCCCCCGCCGCGCTATCCTCTACCGATGCATGGAGGAAGGGGGGAAGGGAGGGGAGGGAAGGGGGCGGAGGGAAGAGCGAGGTGGGGAGGGAGGAGAGGAAGAGGAGGAACACGACGACGACCAAGAGAACAGGAATAGGACAGCCCTGGAGCGGGAGGAGGGGAGCAGACACGCGGGATGACAAGGGAAACGACGATGATGACGAGGAGGCATGCGGCGGTTGATGAAGGAGGAAACGCGAGGAAGAAGAGGAGGACGACGAGGGGAATGGAGAGGGCAGAAGGAAGACCGACAGCCCCAGAGCGGTAGCCTGACCAGTGGACTCGGCGGCCGCTGGTGTAGTTCTTGCGCACCACCTGGGGGGGGGGCAGGGGGCCCCAAGCGCCCCAAACTTCTGCTGTTCCGCAACCTCCTCCTCCTCCTCCCCCCCTCTCCCTTATTATACTCCTCCTCCTCCTCCTCATCATCCTCATCCTTCTCCTCCTCCTCCTCCTCCCCCTTCCCTCGTTCCTACCTTGGCGGCCAAATCCTCTGACAGGGACCGCTGTGACTCACTGGCCACTAAACAAAGACAATGGGCCTGGGGGGTCTCAGGTCGTCTGGCTGAGCCCATTCCCTGACGCCCGCTGGCAGCCCCTACTGTTCCAGGGAATGAATGAGACGCCTGGCACATTTAGCAAAGGTCTCTGGCTTACACTGCACACCGAGCTTTTGGGAAGAAGTGGCGCCGCCCCCCCCCCCCCCCCCCCCCGCAGGCTCGACGCCCAAAGACCCCTTTGAAGCTCCACGCGGCATGGCCCCTATGCAAATTGGCGGGGCACCCGGTACACGGGCTGTAAAGCCAGGACTCTATCGCACCTGGCTCTGGCTTTGTGGAACGCACCGTGCACTGCGTTCGACCTCGGGTGTCTCGCTTCACCGAGTGGGCCGAACCTGCTATCCTCTGCTGAGCCGCCTCCCGCCTCTCCCCAGCCCGAACCTTGGCCTCCCGCGCGCAGTCTTGCCGCGAGCTCGCGCCATAGAGAGACGGTGCCTGCTTATTAACCGCGAGGGCCGCCGCCAGCATGTGCTCGTGCACCTTTGTCGCTTTCAAGCCGATGGCCGCTATTGCGGCGATGTCCTGGGGCGGAAGCTGGGCCTGACGGGCGCCCTCCTCCGCTGCCTGATCTGCAAGGCGATTCGCGAACAAATGCTGTGGGGGCACGTGGTTCGCTTCGGCCTCTTCAGCCGAAAGGCGACGCTTGATTTTTTGCGGGCCACGATGGGCCCATCACCAAGGTCGGCCCGAACTCTCTTCCACAAGAACTTGTTGGCGATGCGCCGCCCGTGTGGGCCAGCTCTTATGCCGCCCACCGCAGTCTTGGCATAAATCACCCAAACATAATCTCCTTCAGTAGCTTTCACCGCCACTGTGGCAGCCGTCCACTCTGATATGGGAACTGTCTGCTTCCAGCACTCCAAAGGCCCTTGCCCCCACCCAGGCAGGCCCCACCTATCCGCCACCACAAGCCCCGCCCACATCTTCTGAGCCTGGAGTCATCGTGGTACTTGCCACCTGGAACCGTCAGTGGCAAAACTCATTGAGCTGGCGAGACGAATCTTGGCATTTCTGGCCAGGGCACCTCCGGAGATCTCGGCGCCCTAGGTCGGGCGCGAGGCGCGGGGCAGCGCCGAGGGCACTGGCGCTATACCCCTGGGCCAAAAACAGGGCCACTCTTCTTGGCCTTCACGGGCCTCCTCCAAGAGCTCCAAGTGCAGGCCCTCCAGGCCGCGGCTCCCAGGGCACTCCCAGATAGGAAGGAAAAGGGTCTCGTGCGGAGCTCCGCGCCGAGGTCACTTTGGCGCGGCCCAGGGTGGCCCGCGCGGCGAGCAGACCCCCGGGGCCCCCTGAAGCTCCTCTGGGAAAATGCCAAGAGGGTAGTCCCAAGGGCCCTGGTCATCCCCCTGGGCTTGCCTGACAAAATCCAAAATCCAAATCCTCCTCTTCCTCATCCAGCGCCTGGGGCTCCAGGGGGGCCTGCTGAGACGCCCGTGCAGCGGCGGCGGCCGTTGCTGGAGGGATTGGCGGGGGCCCGGTAGCTTCTCCTCCAAAGCGCCGACTCGCAGGTCAGAGGGCGCCTGCCAAATCACTGTGAACAGACAAGCTGTGTCGCATTGCGCTTCATTTTTCAAGGCGGGCATGCGTTGCCTGTTGACTGTGAGATCAGGGCCGTGCTCGAGACCTTTGCCCTTAAAATGCGCCGCTGCTAGCTCCCAAGCCCGTTGGTTTAGGGTTCCGTGCAACATGTATTCTGACAGCATATGCGGGCCAGCTTCTTCCAGATCGAACAGTACTCCGTCTGGGTCCTGCCGCAGGGTCGGTGAAAGAGGTTCCCACCCAAGGTCCAAGAGCGCGGCCGCCGTTGCCGACAGGGTCCCGTTAACTTTCCCCCATCGGCTTCTGGCCCTTTCAAAATGCTACCAGCTTTTCTCCGGGCTAAGAAAAGAGCCCGGCGGTGGGTTGACAGAAACATTGGCAGAAGTCCGATCCATTCATCGAAAAGACGCAGCCTGCCAAAAACCATCGGGCCCTGGTGTGCCGTTGGTAAGTAAGGCCATCCGAATAGTCGCAGTCGCGCGCCCTTCTTCCTCGCGGCCAACCATGCCCGAGAACTGTGCTCGCATTCGTAGCAGCGTGGATGGGGCCACTCCTTGAGCCCCAATTTCCCGCGCTCTGTGGGATAAGGCCGGTTTTTTTACTGGAGATTTCCCAGCTCTGGGGGTCTTGGCAACTCTACGAATTATGTTACCACTACTGGTGCTATCGGCCACGCTCTTCTTGACCGCTGCTACAGAGCGTCTGTGGGAAGCGCCGTCGATCCCAAGGTCTTTTACACATTGGGATCTCCTCAACTGTATGCTAGATCCAAGCCTACGCTGGATGTCAACTGCCACTCTCGTTGGATTGGTGACTGGGACGCTCTTGCTAGATGCTAGGGCTTAATATCTGGTAGCGGTTGGCACAAGCTGTAATCGCTTCCACTGTTATGTCGATAACAATGGACTCCCTGTCAACTGCAAACTGGCTGCAGTCATCAACCCAGGTCTGCACTTCTACTGGTCTGTAGTTCTCGTGTAAATATGCTAGCATCTGCCGCGGGGCGAGTTGGGAGATGCCGACGCTCTGAGAACAGCCTGCTAGGGCCCCAGGAAAGGCCTCCAGTGGCTCCGAAATGGCCCCATCCAGCTCGGCACCTCCGAACCCCGGCGCGGAGGCTGAGGCCGAGGAAGAGGTGGCAGAGGATGCTGCACTTGCGCGCCGACTTGCCAGAGCTGCCCTGGGTCTATCGCGTCGTAGAAGTTCTCTAGATCCCAGAGCACTTCCCTCCAGGAAAACTGTTGGAGGCTCGCTATCTCCAGCTTCGTTTGTCTCAGTCTGGCTGCCCTGAGAGAGCTGCAGCCTGCGACGGCTTTGTCCCGGAACTGTACTTTTTCAGCAGACCAGCCTGCTACCTGGCGACGCCTGACCCGAGACCATGCTCGGTGCACACCTTGAGTTAAACTTATCGGCCTGTCTGCTTGCTCCGACTTAAACATCAGCTGCACTACGTGGACTAAAATCTGGTCTGGCCACCGCAGTGTTTGCTCGACCGAGTTGAGGTGGACTAACGCTTCTTGCGGAAGTTGTAGCCACCATCTTCGGTTGGATCGATCAACTCCCATGCCGATGACTGGTTTGAAACATTGAAAACTTGCCTGCACTTTTTCAACTGTTATGGTGTCTAGGGTGAGGCTGTGGGCTCTGGCAGCTCGCTTGAAATCCTGCCACCACCCCTGGGCCCCTGGCCCTGAGGTCGCCCCTTGCTTCGCCCCCAGAAGCCCATCCAGAAGTCCGCTTTCTGCTCGACTGCTGCCATGGGCTCTACAATGGCGGCCCCGGAGGAGTCTCGCTCGAAAGAAAGGTCTTCTCTGCCCCCCCCCCCCCCCCCCCAGCTCATGGCGCGTCTATGGACAGCGCCTGCCCCTCGCTTGATGGGGAGCTTGAAACCGCCCCTTTAAACTTTTGGAGCTGGCTCGGATATCGCGGCCTTCACTCAATCGCTTTAATGGGCCCGTTGGCCGACTTGGTCTTCCGACGCAGCTGCCCCTCGCCGAGGCCCCCCCAGGGGCACCCCCGAATCGCCCAGGGCCCCCAGGGAGGTTTTGCCAGCGCCACCCCTTAGTACTTGAGGTTGGCCCCCCAGGCCCCCCCTCACTTTGCGGCGAGCCCCCGCCGCCGCCAGGCTAGCCCCACCACCCCGCCCCCTGTCCTTTAACCCTAGCAAATTGCGAAGTCTAGCTCCTAGGCTGTTCCACTGTGCTAAAAGGGTTGTTTCTGCTAGCCACCCATGCGGCTTTGTCTGCTGGACTGGGACTAGTCTTGTGGCTGGGTGTTCTCCTCGCGCAAACTGCAGATCGGGGGCATAAGCGCCCTGTCTACCAAGGAGCAAGCTGCCGGCCGCCATCGCGAACTCCATATAGACGTGACCCACGCCCCCGACCTTGCGACGCTGCAGCGTGTCCTGCTGCATGCCCTCCCCGATTCTGTGCTGGGCCGCCTCCATGCGATGCTGTCGCGGCCTATCTGGTCCAGCTGCGAGTTGGCAGTCCATCGGCTGCTCCATGGTACGCTTCATGAGCATCTGGCCTGCGTACTTGGCCGCGCCCTCCATGCCCGCGCGCGGCGACGCCCAAGGCCCCTGCGAGCCCAACTCTAGCTTCACCATGTGCTGAATGCTGCTCGCGACGAGGCAGTGGTCGATCAGACGGTTACCTCCTTGGCGAGCTTCCCGCGGCGCCATCCAGCTGCCGTCGGGGCACGTGGTGATCTGCAGATGGTCCACCTCGTGCGCCTCCATGTTCCAATCGGCCATCGCTATATATGGTTATTCGCGCACGTTGAGATAATCTGCAACTGCTGAGAGCACTTCCACATCGGGGCCAGCCAAACCTACACCAGTTGCCAAGCACATGGCCACGAATATGACGTCACCGATGTCATGCATCCTGCGGGTTATGGCAGCCCACTGGTCTACATCCGTCATCTTATCCGTGGGGTGTCTGCAAGTGTACTTCCTGTCGCATTTGGAGCCATGCCCCACCATGTCCTCGGCTGTCTTGCCCCGAAGTCGGCACTGCTGCCACTGACTTTGCTGCCCAACCACATCTCGAGAATGTTATGTTTGACCTCGTTGAGCCGCGCCTTCATCAAATGGTGCTCTGCTGTGCCGACAACTGAGGCTTTGGCCAGGGCTGCGTTCTGGTCGCGCAAGCATGAGGTGCTCTTTTCGATCCAGGACGTGACATTGGCGAAGTAGAAAGTGAGTTATTGTTGTGT